CTGACATGACCTTAGTTGTGTTCCATTGTCATAGCATGAAATAAATGAACCATCTGACGAATTTGGATGTTTGGAGCTATCTGATCTCGGGCCAGCTGCAAACATGGAAGCACCGCTTCTATCTTTACCAAGTGCGTAGAAATGGCGTAGTATGTGCAAGCACGTATGCATGGCGTACAACGGCAAATATGTAAAAAATACAGTTGAAATGAGCTATTATGAACTGTTTGAAATAGTCTGCTTTAACCACACTTGCACAATATAGTTTATTTCGCCCTCGCTCCTTTTGACCAAAGACCTCCTTGGACAATTTCATAGTCATTCAGGCTCGTGTGTGTGTGTGTGTTCACGAGGGGCGATCTCGGGGAGTTTTCCAGGAGCTAATCAGCGCCATCTTCATCAATTTCAAGCATTTTATTTTTTGAGAGAACAGGGAGACTCTACAAAGTGCTAACTGAAGGTCGTGGCCTCATATGACCTGTCAAATATCGCATCCACTATTGTTTAGTTATATCTTTCTGGTGCGACTTGACGAGAGCCGCCAAATGCCATTACCCTGTAGCTCTCTCTAGCGTGCTGAGTGTTGGAATTAAAGATGATGGTTGTGCTGACATCTCTATGAGCATTGTATCAAATGTTTTGTAGACATGACTTTGGGACCACAATCCCTGCCAAGCAAATCTTGCTGCAAAGATCTTGGCCACTCCACTGCGATAATTTCGGTTTAAACAGTTTGATGGATCATTTTGCGACCCAACTTTTCTTTGTAACGTCATATCATGTCTTCGCCGATACCAGTCTGATCCTTCCGTGACCAGCCTGCATTTGACTGTCCTTAGCAGGCCAAATTTGTGAAAACTTACTTCTGGAACGTGAGCTCACTTAGTCGATCACTCTTGTTGTCAGATGCTCATGACTAATGAATGCTACGTAGGCCACGGACGTGACAACGTCTTTCGTTTTCGTCAGTTTGAACTCAGGAAGGAGTTGACAACCGTACAAGTAGTAACTTGCTTTTCCTTGCATGTATGTTGGGCTTCCAAAGTATTCGCAATGCCATCAGGTTTAACAATGATGAAATCGATAACAGGGTAATCATCATATCAGACCTGGTCCAATCCATTTGGTCCAAATGCATCAGATAGGTTGTTGTATGCCAATTGTTTTTCTCTCATGGTCTGCTCCTGGCAATGGAAATAAGGTACAACTTGAATGCCATATCGACGGGAAACGTTCCAGACAACATAAAGAAGACAGGACAAAATTGTATAGATGCAATGATATTACTAAATGCGAACTGTTTACGAGTCTAAACGGGATCGACTGCAAAATAACTACCTAAACGAACTAAATGTCTAGCTTATCCACGGATCCTGAAACTGTTTTCACTAGGCGAGTGGTAACAATTTTATCTTCCTATTTATAACTATCCAGTTATGACAGATGCATAGTGGTCTGTATCTTATCTTACCAGGGCTTCGAAAAATGCTAGCGAGCGTTGATTCACATTGCTGTGCTCAAATGCTTCGTGCTAATGGGGAATCTATGAACCATTCGTGTGCTTTTTTTGCATCTCAGCTACGTGTTGAAGTGTCTTTTCAATGCCCATAGCTGACATCAAAAATGCATGGTTTCAAAAGGCATCAGTTAGATATTGTGTATATTTCATTTCGTGAAGGTGAAACACAACCATGATCATGCATCTAGTCATTATGCGAATGTCGATACATTATGTACGCGAGTAACATATATCCTGGCGACTTCCCGAACACTAGGCCAAGCTAGATCATGACTAGTAGAAGTTTGGCCTGCGGTACTGCCGCCGGAATTGACCGATCGGCCGCTGGTAACTTCCGCTAAGTCCACCACCGAACGTCTGCTGGTTGGAGACGGCGTTGGTGTTTGAGAACTCCTGGTTGCCGAACAGCCCCGAAGAAACAGCGTTGGAGGCGCTGGCGGAGTTGGAGCTTACGGCGTTGCCACTGGCTGAGCCCTGAAACAACATGTGAGTTTTTATGTAAGATACAGCTGGAATATACCAATGGGGGTGATGACAACTATGTCACTTCAGACACTGTGATTCCTGGATTATGCAATTTCATCATGAGTGTCCTGAGGTTCAATCAATAGTATATCGTCCACAGCTGCATGACGAACATTATACCGACATTGCTTAGCTCAACCAGCCTACTGGGGCTAACTTCACACAATCCCTAGTGGTATATCTAGTAGCCGACACACTTACCGAGGCGGTGGCGCTGATTTGCGTGATCCGGGAGCTCTGGAAGGGACCACTGCTGACCCCGGACACCACGTTGCCGGCGGCACTTCCGGTCGCCTGGCCGTTCTGACTGAATAAACCACCTGGGAAGAAGCCCTGCGGCAACGCAACGGCGCCAGCAACCAGGCAGAACAACATGGCCACGGTCTTCATTGTTGGATGGAGCTGGAAACGTTACGGCGGATCATAAGATGACGAAATTCACATGCATGTTTTCGGTAAGTCAATTCAGTGTCAAGAGATAAAGTATCAGGCAAATACCGAATACACCACACGGTGCCTTTGTAAGCAATTTGATCGTTGCCAGGCTTGCATTTATTTACGATCAACACCAAGCGGCTTTAAGCCAGTAAAATCTCCATTCAAATTCGGGGAAAGTACGTCAGCTGACGTCATTGACCTCAAATGATTTCATCGAGTCCTGCTCACTAACCGTGAGGAGTTAGTGTGCTCAGCGGGAGAACGGAATAGCTTCTGAAGCTGCTCACACAATTTCCTGGCTTATATGCGACCAAACGGGTTTGGGGTGGTCCCACTGAATGGGCGTATACGTGGGATTCCCAAGCCAAGGTACGCCGCTGGCTGTTGGCGGAAGACGAGCTGTGCGGCCTTTGGCTCTGGTTAGAGATGCGCATGGCTCATCCGTGGCGCCAGTCATTTCAGTGACTGAAGAGATGATGGCGGGGGTGTCGAGTCGAAATATTATATCATCTACTCATGGACCCGCGTCACTTACTGCTGTCCCAATATGACATGCTTCATGCTGTGTTTATGGTCACGATTCTAGTCACGAGTAAGGGCTTGTCGCAACGTACTCTAGCACAACCTGAAACGTTGAGCTTGATTAATGAAGCAACGTGTTCTTTGCTAGCATCGTGAAACCAGCGCCTACCAAAATGTAAGAGCGAACATTGTGGATGGATTTGGATTAGAAGAACTTTGAGCTAGTAATGCCAACAAATATGAGCTTAAAGCACTTTTTCTGCATCAAGCCTTGCTCATCAATTGTACCCACTCTGTAGCCTCGCGTTTGGGCTTCCCAAGCACTTTTGCTCTTGCTGAAAACCTATTCTCATGGCTTTGATGACTAAAAACCAGAACGTAGTGTGAATGACGTTATCAACGTTAAAAAAGCAGCACATACAGTAACATTTTATAACATTTTTTTGAATTGTCTTCCCGATATTTGCGCCACAGTACTTGTCCCATCACCCATGTCAATCATTTTCTCGGAAGCTGTATCTAACAGAATCCGTAACACAAATTATATTGGTATCTACCCATAATTTTGCCTAGCCAGTGAGGTCTTTTAAGTTGCGACACATCCTTCAATCAACTTACGACAAATAGGTAGTTACACAATCTGATGACGGACAGTATTTCAAGATGAGTTTATGGGAACATATTCAAAAGCATAGTGTTTGCTCTGATATAAGAGCCATAAGCATGTCTGGTCAACGCTCGCAAAGACCTCGAGCATGGATTCCATAACATTGCGTCACTTCAGGCTTTCAGGCATTTAAGATAATTTTGCAAACGCATGAATCGTCAAAACATTGTAGCAACAAGAAATAATCTGATCTCGAAAATACATGGCATGTACAACCACCTTGTGTTCACTTACAACAATTGTAAACGCAAAGCAGACAGGCCACCGTTTAAGGTATTGATCTTTATAAAAGGTGCGAGTTGATTTTTCGAACAAACAATTTGCAGCAAATTCTTGTATTAAACAACAGCTGAAAAGGTGAAGAAGCCTGCTCTCACTCTCTAAGCGCACACACGGGAGCTGGAGCCGACCAACGTGCGGCGTGCCGACGCATGACTGTGGAGGACCACCATTCGTATAAGCCACACGACGAAGTAGTGATTGTGTGGATGTTTGTGGATGGTGATGATGTCGCACTGACAGATAACGACTGCGTGGTGAACGGTTTCAGACGGGCGAGCAGTGGCGTAAGTTATTTTCTGGGGTTCAGGCCGCAGCTGTCTGTGGACCTTGACTTAACGCCTTTCCAATACTGCGTCGTGTCTTTGAATGCATTCACCCACACTGCAGTGCAAAAGACGGGAGAAGTTAAGCATCGATTATTGAATGTTTGGTGGAGCACATCAGCCTGTTCAAAAACATGGAAAAAGCTGCAGTTGTGTTGAAGCAGCGACGCTTTGCTTCAGAGGCGCGCAACTCTGAACGTGTTCCAAGCTGGGCAGTCTACGCCCAACATTGTAATAATTATGACACTGTAGTCCATTCACCACGGAATGTGAAAAACACATAGAATAGAAGCAGAGAGCAGAAGCAGTACAATTGTTCTACTTGGCCCCCATCATAATAACTTGGATTTTTGTCACTATCTTAAAGCGGTTTGACTACAGGGTCATATCAATACGGTTGGATAAAACTTTGCAGTTCAAAACGCCACACAAACTGTCCTTGATGCACTTTATCAACGACTTTTGTTCACATATTTGAGCAACAGTCAACAACAGCGCAGACATATCATTGCGTTACGTATCTGCAATGACAGTCGTCTATAAGAGCAAAATGAGCTTAGCCATCGAACTGTACAGACGGGAACGGCACCCCGTTGGTGGTGGTGAGCTGGTCCATGCGCACCTCGACCGGAAGCCCTCGACCGGACCGTGCGTTTCTCCCTATGCTCCGCGACGCGCTCCGGCCAGGGAATCCCGCCTACGTGGAACAGGCCCGAATCAGCTCCCTGGTATATAAGTCAGGTTGGGAGGAGGGCAGCTTCAAACACTTCCCAGCTATTCTGGACAGCACAGCCACCTCTCTTTCGGTGAGTGATCCATATACTAAAAACAGAAAACTCACAGTTTTGGAGTGGTCTGTCCCCGAGCACATCAGTTTTGAAATGGCGCGGTTATGCCGACGTAAATCACCCGGTCATTGGGGTTCGTACATCACCAATTATGTCGTGCACGCTTTCAACCGATGATAGTTTTCACATCTTACAATCCGCCGTCGCGCTTCCAGCTCCCTTCAAAGATGAAGACGGTCGCCATCTTGCTCTGCGTGGCTGCTGGCGCCGCAGCGTTGCCGCAGGGCTTCTTCCCAGGTGGACTGTTCAGTGAGAACGGCCAGGCGACCGGAAGTGCCGCCGGCAATGTGGTGACCGGGGTCAGCGGCGGTCCCTTCCAGAACTCTCGGATCACGCAAGTCAGCGCCACAGCCTCGGTTAGTGTGCCTGCTACCGGATCTACCGCTAAAAAGAGTCACAATAAAAGCTTCAGCTGAATGTTCTTTGATCAGGCATAGACCCTCTTGCTTTGCTTAAACGACTCCTTTGTCTGGATGTCTTCGTCAGTTACACGAGTCATTCACATACCCACGTTTTGTTTGTTTGTAAACATCCATATGTTGTTTCAGGGTTCTGCTCGAGGCAACGCCGTAAGCTCCAACGTCGCCAGCGCCTCCAACGTCGCTTCTTCGGGGCTGTTCGGCAACCAGGAGTTCTCAAACACCAACGCCTTTTCCAATCAGCAGACGTTCGGTGGTGGACTTAGCGGGAGTAACCAGCGGCCGATCGGTCAATTCCGGCGGCAGTACCGCAGGCCGAACTTCTACTAGTCATGATCTAGCTCGCCCTGCGTTCAATATATTGTTAAGGCATCTGTTCTTTGCGTACACGATGTATCGTCATTCGCATTGTGGCTAGCCTCATGATCATGGTTGTGATTCATCGTCATGAAATGAAATATATACAGTACTTAAAGGACGCCTTTTGAAGTCATAGATTTCTAGTGTCAGCTGGAGACAGTGAAAAGTCGGGGAGTTTTCCAAGATGCATTCCTCTTTGAGATGACATGCGGACTCTACAAAGAGCTAATTGAAAGTCGTGGCCTCATATGGCCGGTCAAATATCGCATTCACTATTGTTTAGTCATATCTTTCTGGTGCGGCTTTACGAGGGCTGTCAAATGCCACCACCCTGTGGCTCTAGCGTGCTGAGTCTTGGAAGGGAGAGGTGATGGTTGTGCTGACATCTTTATGAGCATTGTATCAAATGTTTTGTAGATATCACTTTAGGATCATAGTCCGTGCCAAGCAAATTTTGCTGCAAAGATCCTGACGAATCCAGTGGAGCAATTTTTATTTAGGCAGTTCAAGGGATCATTTTGCGACCCAACTTTACCTTGCAACGTCATATCATGACTTGGCCGATACCAGCCTGATCCTTCCGTGACCAGCCTGCATTTGACTGCCCTTAGAAGGCCAAAAATTTTAAAAACCTTTTTCCTGGGACGTGAGCTCACTTAGTTGATCACTTTTGTGGTAAGTCGTTGATGACTAACGCTATATAGGCCACGGATACGACAACGGCTTTCGTTTTCGTCAGTTTGAAATTAGGAAGGAGTTGACAACCGTGCAAGTAGAAACTTACTTTCCCTTACGTGTGTGGTAGGCTTGAAAAGTATGTGTGTATGTATGTGTGAAAAGCGTGCTAGACCTGGCCGAATCAATTTGGTCCAAATGCATCAGATAGGTTGTTTTATACCAATTGTTTTTCTCTCATGGTCTTTGCACCTGGCAATGGAAATAAGGTACAACTTGAATGCCATATCGACGAGAAACGTTCCAGACAACATAAAGAAGACAGGACAAAATTGTATGGATGCAATGATGTTACTAAATGTGAACTGTTTACGAGTCTAAACGAGATCAGCTGTAAACTACCTACCTAAATGAACTAAACGTCTAGCTTATCCACGGATCCTGAAACTGTTTTCACTAGGCGGGTGGTAAAAATGTTATCTTCCTTTTTATAGCTATCCAGTTGTGACAGATGCATAGTGGTTCGCATCTTAACATATCAGGGCTCAGAAAAATGTCAGCGAACGTTGGTGCACATTGCTCTGCTCAACTTCTTTGTGCTAATGGGGAATCTAAGAACCTTTCGTGTGCGTTTCTTGCATTTCAGCTGCATGTGTAGAAGCGACTTCAGCGCTCATAGCTGACACCAGAAATGCATGGTTTCAAAAGGCAGCAGTTAAATATTGTGTTTATTTCATTTCATGAAGGTGAAACACAACCATGGGCATGAATCTAGTCACTATGCGAATGTCGATACATTATGTACGCGAGTAGCATATATCCTGGCGACTTCCCGAACACTAGGCCAAGCTAGATCATGACTAGTAGAAGTTCGGCTTGCGGTACTGCCGCCGGAATTGACCGACCGGCCGCTGGTAACTTCCGCTAAGTCCACCACCGAACGTCTGCTGATTGGAGACGGCGTTGGTGTTTGAGAATTCCTGGTTGCCGAACAGCCCCGAGGAAGCGACGTTGGAGGCGCTGGCGACGTTGGAGCTTACAGCGTTGTCACTAGCTGAACCCTGAAAGAACGGGTGAGTTTTGATGTAAGATACAACTGGCATATACCAATGGAGGTGATGACAAATATGTCCATTCGGACGCTGTGATTCTTGGATTGTGCAATTTCATCGTAAGCATTCTGAGGCTCAAGCAGTAGCATAGCGTCCAAAACTGCTTCAAAAACATGATACCAAAATTTCCGTGCTTTCCCAGTTTACTGGGACTAACTTTCAGTATTTTTTTGCGGTACATCCGGCAGCAGGTCCACTTACCAAGGCAGTGGCGCTGACTTGCGTGATCCGGGAGTTCTGGGAGGGACCGCCGCTGACCCCGGTCACCACATTGCCGGTGGCACTTCCAGTCGCCTGGCCGTTCTGACTGAATAAACCACCTGGGAAGAAGCCCTGCGGCAACGCAGCGGCGACAGCAACCAGGCAGAACAAGATGGCGACGGTCTTCATTGTTGGAGGAAGCTGGAAACGTGGCGGCGGATCATAAGATGAGGAAACTCGCACACATATTTTTGCAAATCAATTCAGCAACAATTGGTAAAACATCATGTAAATACCGAACAGAATACATGGTACCTATGAAAGTAATTTGATCATCGCCAGGATTGCGTCTGCTTACGACTAACGCCAAATGGCTTTAAGGCAGTAGCGGTTACATTGAAAATCGCGGGAAGCATGTTGGCTTACGTCATAAGCATTAAAGGGAGCTCATCGAGTTCTGGTCACTAACCGTGAGGAGTTAGTGTGCTCGGCGGGAGAGCTGAATAGCTTTTGAAGCTGCTCAGACGCTTACCTGGCTTATATGCGGCGAAACGGGTTGGGGGGGGGGGTGGTCCCACTGAATGGGCGTGTACGTGGGATTCCCTAGCCAAGGTACGCCGCTGGCTTTTGGCGGAAGACGCCCGGTGCGGCCAGTCGTTCAGATTAGAGATGCGCATAGCTCATCCGTATCGCCATTCATTTCGGTGACCGAGGGCATAATGGTGACCATTGGTTTCGAGCCTAGATATTATGCACTCATGGACTCGCGGCCAGTGATAGTGTAGTATGGCGTGAACTGTCGTGATGAAATATTTCGTGGAAGGTTATTACAAGTGCCCATATGTTAACAAGCTCAAACCTCAGGTTGGTGGCCAAGCTTTCCTCAGAGCTCCTCATGCATTTACCTTTAACCTAGATACCTGTACTCACCAAAAATTACTGGAATGCATTTGATGTTAGTGACCTTATTTGACCACAAACTGTGAGATTGTTTATATTTTTTAACTTCACTAAACGTCTAGGATTGGGCTAGACGGTACGCTGTTAAAAACAAAGGATTTATTGGGGTCATTCTAGGCCAGTGACCACCTATGACCTGTATTAAGTTCAAAAGCACATTTGCTGACCTCCCTGTGATCCATAAATCAAAGTGAGCGTCAGAAACTACCCGAAATGGTAAGGTTTTGAGAGAAATGCAATTTTAAACTCGACCTGGCCTTCATGCCTTGTTCGAGATCAATGGAATAACCCGCGATTTTTATTTTCATTGTCTGATATTCAGAGAAACCACCTCAAAGATGTATGACTTCCACAAAGACCCTGCTGTCGTATCCGATTGAACGATTTCTCTAGGCATTGCCGTCCTTTAGAACCGTGACCTGACTTTCATCCGCCATAGGTCAGCGACCTTGCAAGGCACATCTAACTTCCCACATCCCACGATTGGTTATTCAATTGGCTACAGTACTGCAAAATTTGGCGTGACCTTGCTGCGTCATTCGGAAGTTAGTTCTCAGAAGCATTCGGGGGCCCAAATTTTTCCCCAGCGCGTGTTAATGCTGCTGCGTCGCTGTTTCCGTGCGCTTGCAGCATCTCTAGGGCTTCGGTTATGCAGCAGCCTTGCAGGCTATGTGGTGATACCACACCTTTGGCTATCGGTGCAGATTGCGCCGCACTGCTCAGTTTTATTTTGGCGCATTTATTACCATTCACTTAATCTATTCACGTGGCTTATGGTAACATTGTTAGATGCACCGCTTGTCCTCGAATTGGTGGACCTCGACTCTTAGTGATGACAAAGTGTTTCTGATTGTATTTTTCCTAAGATGAGCGGAAAACACGGACACCAAAAAGATGTTTTCAAATCACCCGTGCCGCATGTGCGAAGATATCGCCGCTTTTATACTCTGTCTCCATACCACTACGTGTGTGATGTCCGACTTTTATTAACCCCCTACTCAGACCCACACTCTCAAAATTTTGGCGGCCGAAGAAAGCATCGTGGCAAAGAAAAGGGTGCCAGATGAATCAGTGAAGTATACTACGCATCACCCCAAAGTTCATTTTGATAAATTGCTCTGCAGACCCTCCTCTCTAATACCCTGGACTCTAGCTATCCTTTTTATTGCGCAGTCACAGTGCCATTGTTTAATACCTTCCTTTTGTGATCCTTGACTTTCGCTGATCACACTTGCTTGCTTCCTAAGCTCCATCGGCAATCGCCCAAACCCATTTTGTTTTCATTTAAAATACTGCCGTCGGAATATCCATGATAAACATTGTGGCATTCGCGGGTTTTGCATCAAATTCGCCCTGACTCCCGAGTTTTCGGAAACGGAAATGCTTTGTTTTGTGAATCGGATTTGTGGGTCGGGTGATGATCGGTCACAAAACACAATGGTTTTGTGACGATTTGATCAAACATAATTTACACCAGGAATGGGTTGACGACGCCTAGAGGTCTACAAAGAGTAGAATATGTCTGTTTATTTGAGGACATGAGTTGTTTGTTCAAAAGGATAAGGTGATTGTCACCGAGCAAAAGGGGTAGTGTAAGCGGAAAATACGTTTTACAGCGTATCGCGTAAGGGACCACACTGGGATTAAAACAGGGCCAGGCGATGCGAGCATGCTTAGTGAGAAACGGCAGTGGAATGGGTGAACATTTTGGGGAGGGCCGTCCTTCTTCACTTCGTTTTTCATGTTGACTTCTGACTGCGCCTGCGTGCGCAAGAACGCTGCTGCACCTGTGTAGCACCTACACAGTGAGTGCGTGTATAGGAGCGCTATTTCGCTGTCGTGGTACTACACTGCGAGTACATCTGACGCGTCGGTCAGTTGACGTGACTTGTCATTTGATCGGGAGCTATTTCAAATAGAACTAAACATTAGTTAAAGAATGCCAAAATTCTTCTGAATGTAAAATGGCTCCGTTTCCGCTTCGTGGGGTACGCTGTGAGCAGTGCGCATGGACCATGCGCACCTCTAACGGCTACCGCCGGCCGGCGCACCCGTCTTCCACTTGATGGCCCGAGGCACGCTCCGGCCAGGGAATCCCGTCTTCAAACCCACTCAGTGGGACTTGACCGAATCAGGATCCTGGCATATAAGTCAGGATGGGGAGGGA